ATGAAGACAACACGGACACAAGTAGCACCTCGAGAGAACTCTTCATTACCCAGACGTAGTCCGCTCAATAGCTGCAACGTGCAAAACAAAATCACACAGAATACACAATCAGTCGATTAGTCAGTCTCTCGATCCGTCGTTCGCTTGCTCATATATCAACACCACAACTACAATTTTCAATTAGACCGGTGTCGTCCAGTGCTCATCATCGCTATCATCATTATAATGACCAAGTGCATGACCACCACTTCACAAATGGACAATCACTTACAATCACTGGCTTACTCATTCAACTAACCGACGCTCACACTACCAATGTGAACACCACTCAATACACCAATTCATCACTACTCGCTTCAATCTCACACTTACATGACCACTAACTCATTACCTGCTCACCTACTTACTCACCACCTACTACTAACTTCTTACCTACTCACTAACTCATTGCCTTCTCACAAACGTCCGTTCTCACATACACATACACACTTCCACGCCTACTTACTAGCTCAGTCTGTACATTACACATTCATCAATTTGATTCAAACTATGCCACCTCTCTCTCTCTCTCTCTCTCTCTCGGAAGTCTTCACTCCTGTCATTTCACAGAACCATTTGTCCACTACACTGGTGTCGTTCGAACAATTCACACACTGCTTCTCTGATTATTGCATACCAGTACACTAAGAACACAATAACCATAACCAATGCACACCTACCAGGTCACAAATCGACATCGACAAATTTCTGTACATGACACTTGACTCATTCGACAGATCAGTTGACCAATTCATGGGCACTGACCGTTCTCCAATATAGATCACAATATCCACCTCGAACATGGAGATCTCTACAAGGAAAAGTTGATTAGAGAAGTCTTAAATACCATAGCATGTAATTGGTGTCAATGAGAGAATATCAGTATTGGAATACAGGTAAATTCAACTGGTGAATCCTAAATAGAGTTGTTTAGAGTATTTGTTGTAACTTATGTGCTGTGTGCCCTGCTAATGTATAACGTGACGACACGGCCAATCAAAGAGCAGTGACTTATCGATAGGACCAATGACGCGCACACCCGTATGATTTGTCAGCAACTAAATAAATAAACAAATCAATCAAGCAACCAACAGACACTGCACAATAACACATCTCGTGTGAGCGTATGTAGGAGAAGATATGCACAGCACTTGATGTTATGCAACACAATGTGAACCTACCGAAAGCAACTCCAGTAGTAATTGATGACGGGCTGGTCATCAGCACAGTCGATCTTGCAGTCATCGTCTCCATCGACGTGGTCCTGATCGGCTGCCTCGATTCTGTCGACACACTTGTTTCTGTTTGTCCGAGACCGTCACCCGACGTCACAGTGCTTGTTCGTGGACCTGTTGAGTTAAACGGAAAACACATGTAGTTGTATTCATCGTTCAGAAATATCTTCTTCCTGTCAGCTTCCATACAGGACTACGGTGGTTGATATTTCGACCATCTAATTATTATTATTATTCTACTAACAAGATGTTGTTTGTCCGACTCAACAGAACATCAACTCATGCACAACAACACTTCGAATTGCATAGTCTACACGTTTAGTTGAGATAGAGAAGACTGAGTCTTCATTGCAGCTCTAATTTTTGGACAGAAGCCAAAACTTCAAATAAGACTACGACATTTATATAGTGACACTCAGTGACCATAGCACGCATTGCGAAAATGACAAGCACAATTCAGGCAGTAGCAAATGTCATTGAAGAAGTGTGAATTCGAAGAATCTTATCTCGGTTATCCTTCAATCGATAAACTGACATGCAATAACAAACACCCATACATACTCATCTCTCCTTGACACATCGATTCACTTCTCACAATTTAGAAAATCTGCACAAATCAATGCTACACAACACGGTCACATCACAGAAATGCTACACCGTACATTGTAAGCAACAAACAATCGACATCATCAACATTACCACGATGCATGTGACCTGTGAAAGAAAACTGGAGAGTCTCACACCTCCCTATCCATCAGTAAGTCAGTCACTAACTCCACGTATACGTTTTCCATGGTGTATTGATCTCTCAGCTGGATGCTTCCACTACGGGTGTACACATCCAAGATTGGGAACAATCGGATGATAAACAATACTGTCACTGTTCTCCTATCTCAATGGAGCCACAGTCAGTGTCTCGCCTAACTATCATCTCATCTCATCTCACATCACATCACATCACATCACATCACATCACATCACATCACATCACATCACATCATATCATATCATATCAAAACATATCACTGGGAAAATGGGCAACAACAATTGACAACTTACGATATGCTGTGATGTTTCTCAAACTTGGTCCACTCTTGATATTCAGGAGTGTGCATCCACGAACCAGAGTCTCCGTCAGATCAGTCTCAGTTGGTTGTGATCCACGAGACAAATGCAACTGCACACTCGCAATCGCTCGAACAGCTTCGATTGAGACACGATTGACACCCGCGTCTGTGTGAGCTTGGCCAACACCGTCAATCCAGATCATGATCCGAATGAAGACAACACGGACACAAGTAGCACCTCGAGAGAACTCTTCATTACCCAGACGTAGTCCGCTCAATAGCTGCAACGTGCAAAACAAAATCACACAGAATACACAATCAGTCGATTAGTCAGTCTCTCGATCCGTCGTTCGCTTGCTCATATATCAACACCACAACTACAATTTTCAATTAGACCGGTGTCGTCCAGTGCTCATCATCGCTATCATCATTATAATGACCAAGTGCATGACCACCACTTCACAAATGGACAATCACTTACAATCACTGGCTTACTCATTCAACTAACCGACGCTCACACTACCAATGTGAACACCACTCAATACACCAATTCATCACTACTCGCTTCAATCTCACACTTACATGACCACTAACTCATTACCTGCTCACCTACTTACTCACCACCTACTACTAACTTCTTACCTACTCACTAACTCATTGCCTTCTCACAAACGTCCGTTCTCACATACACATACACACTTCCACGCCTACTTACTAGCTCAGTCTGTACATTACACATTCATCAATTTGATTCAAACTATGCCACCTCTCTCTCTCTCTCTCTCTCTCTCGGAAGTCTTCACTCCTGTCATTTCACAGAACCATTTGTCCACTACACTGGTGTCGTTCGAACAATTCACACACTGCTTCTCTGATTATTGCATACCAGTACACTAAGAACACAATAACCATAACCAATGCACACCTACCAGGTCACAAATCGACATCGACAAATTTCTGTACATGACACTTGACTCATTCGACAGATCAGTTGACCAATTCATGGGCACTGACCGTTCTCCAATATAGATCACAATATCCACCTCGAACATGGAGATCTCTACAAGGAAAAGTTGATTAGAGAAGTCTTAAATACCATAGCATGTAATTGGTAATGATAATAATAGTTTCATTGCAAGTTACTGATATTTTGAAGGCACGCTCTCGGTGATACCGTCAGTAGGAATCGATGTTGTCAGTGATTGTTACTGGTGTGGTGTCTTCACGACTAACTTCCGTTTGATTCACTTTTCATCATTCTGCGGAAGATGTCAGTAATGCTTACAAATAGATGAAAAGATAAGTGCACACAAGAACGCACGGAATGACATTAATGAACTGAATTGTAAGAGAGACTGCGATCTAGTCGAACGCTGCAAAATGAAAACACAATGGTCGTCAGTTGTCATTACGCCGTTCAGATACTGTCACCAAATCTAGTATAACCACGAGGTAGGTCTGTGCCTCAATCGACGCACTCACTCAAGCAGTCAGTCAGTCGATCGTTCAATCAATCAGTATATCAATCAACTGAACACTGGGCACAGCACAAACTCAAATCTCATGTGACCATGTATGGAAATAGTTGCGAACAACACGTGACTTCTGACGAAACAATATGAACCTACTGAAATCATCTGATGTAGTAGTTGATGATGGGCTCGTCTTCTCCACAGTTGATGTCGACTTCACCGTCTTCGTTGTCCTAATCGGTTGTGTGAATTCTGTTGAGATACTACTTCCGTCTGTCTGTTCATGGCTGCTAATCGAAGCTGACATGCTTGTCGGTGAACCTGTTCAATTAAGTATGAAAACACACACATATATGTAATATTTGTATTTGTCGTTGATTCAATCGTCGCAACCGAGAACATCTTCACAAGTCAATGCTACACAACACCTAATACTTATATGATATATAAATGTTATTTTAATTTTCAGTCTTTAGTTGCGGTGTTTTTTCATTAAAATATAATTATTTCTCCTGAAATGCTCTCGCACACAATACACGTCATCTGTTTTTGTATCACTATTTTCGTAAAGCATCATCAGATTTCGCATAATCTATATGGAAAATACCTGTTTTCGACACTGTTGATATTATTTTATGATCATTTTTAATATTGAGCTTACCGGAGAACCATATTTCCATCTACATATTCGACACTTTCTCTCTATATTCATATTTCTTTTGCGTATTCGGACCAGATTGCCAATTGAAAAGTTGGGTTGACTTAAGATTGATTTTTAATATTTAGGTTGCTTTCGTCACAGATTAATCGTTGTCAATGCACAACTGAATATTATTAATTAATTGAATGCTGTTCAATGCTCGTAGAATAAGCCACATCAGTGCACATTCATGACTTAAATTGGGATCTAAACCAAATCTTTCGAGTCTAGAGATGAATGTGTAACTATCAAGACGATTGGCTCGATGTCTACTGCTAGAATTATCACTTCAATCAATTTGAACTATAAAATGATTATCCTACCCTGATATTCTACACAATTGTTCTACTTCTGACATGACAAAATGTTACTGGTCACGAATTCTCACTGGAACATGAGGGAATGGTTTAAATTAATATACTAGTGAGCTGACATTTACAGTCTATCTGAAAACGTTTCTTTGCATAATATGATATTATCAACTTACGTGTGAACTGAATGTCAACCAAATTTGGTCCACTCGTAACATTCAACTTTCTCAATCCTTCGATGAAAATCTGCGTTAATTCCTCATCGGATAATAGTGAAGCTTCCAATGATCTCATTTCCACCGTCATTTTCATTAAGATACTGTTGATTAATCGATATTCGTATTTTTCGGTATTATTAACTCTGTAGACAGTTTCAATTTGAACTATGACTTTTTGGAACGTGACGTTCAGAATTTTGAACGAGAATGAAATTTGAACATTTGCTAATTGTACACTTTTAGTAACCTAATCATCAAGGGAAGAAAAAGATATTTCAGTTATGTAATCAAATGTTCAAATGATCGGTCAGTTTTAAATAAATGAACTGAAAACTAAATACAAAAAGCAAAGATGTATATCGAGGCCATACGCACAGTATGCATATGTGCCAATTAATGACAGGTCAATTTCAATCCTAAACACCAATGTGAAGATTCAAGTAAAACAATATCAAGTGAATTAAATACAAAAGTCTATGCTTCCTATTAAATCACTGATTACCATAAAACAATATACCAAAGCTTAATGTGTGCCATCAAAACATTGTCGTTAAATAACCCTCATGATTTTGAATATCAAATTTGTCCAATACTACTTTTAAATAAAGAAAAGAAGCTTATGTAACCAGTAGAAGAATCAAAGCCGCATATCATGAATGTAGCGAAGTTAGGCAATAACACCGTTGGACAGAAGCTTAGTGGTCTGGATGTTGAGCATTCGCTCGCGATTCTGACGGTCCTGAAATCAATTTCTTGTGGTGCGTTTGTGGATTTAGTAGTACTGACGAGTTACATTTAATGACAAAACAGCTACCCAAAGATTTCACGTTTCCAATGGTAGTCTAACTGGGATCACTTTGTCGTTTATATAGCATGAGATTTCAATGATCTCCAATAATTCTCTATATACTAAAAATCTATCATACGAATATTCGTTAAGATTAGAACGAATAGTTTGACAGTAATTGAGCGCCGAGTATAGAGTAGTCATTATATGTGAAAATTATATTTGAAATATTCTCAGCGATTGAAATTTAACTAATTCCAACGTTTCGTCCAGCTAACTTGTCTGGACTTCTTCAGGGTAATAATCAAAATCAAAATTATCAAAGAAATATATAGCTTTTAACAATCAGGATTATACTGTGTTAATACAATCGTATTCGGATGTTGATTTTTTGTAAAATAGGATAAAATGAATCAGTTAACTACAAATCATGTGATGAATTCAACTACATGGAAATACTTAACTGAGTAACAAATCGTATGTGTGTGAGTGTGTAGGTATGATTGGTTTAACACAGTATAATCCTGATTGTTAAAAAGCTATATATTTCTTTGATAATTTTGATTTTGATTATTACCCTGAAGAAGTCCAGACAAGTTAGCTGGACGAAACGTTGGAATTAGTTAAATTTCAATCGCTGAGAATATTTCAAATATAATTTTCACATATAATAAAAATATATCAGTCCATGAAAAAATAGGGAAGTTATTTATTTCAAAGTATCCGGAGATTTTTGGCATCATAGGCGGATTGCATGACGCCTGTTGTACAACAGTATGTTTATATTAGAACATATTCACCACATTATCATGATCGTAGATAATTTAATTTGTAGTTATTCATCAACATGGCTTAACTTCAATACTGTTAGAATTGATGCTTCCTATATGATTCGAACATTAGTCACTCAGCTATCGGAGAAACAATCAACTTTCTTAAGAATTTCGATATTTAAAAATGAATAATAGCTGAATCATAACCAATGTTATTTCATTCGAGATCGAGATGAAGTGGGATGTCTTAAACATAATTCTTCAACTTCATACATCGCTCGTCCTGATAACTTCTAGTAGATAACTCCTACGGTGTATAAATTTCAGAAGACGATACTACGCGTTGACTTCAGTTTCCTATCGTGCAGCACAGTTCACGAGGCCGCCAAGAACATGAAGCGAATACGAACGAAAATGAGAATGAATGAATGAATGAATAAAGTTCAAGTAGCACGTAAACATAAGCAACAAACTGAATCATCTACTACTTTAGGCTAATAAGAGGAATATGTGTATGAGCTGTAACAAGTGATCAAGCATACCTGATCTAAGAAGTATGGTGATGACTTTTTAAAGATGTAAGCAAATAGTTGATGCAATGAAGAGCTCATTAAATTCGAACGTGTATGAACTCAAGTATTAGTGAGTATGCTATAGTTTATACGTGATATGGTTATATAGTATCGGTTACTATACCAGCTCATATAGCTTATTCTAGATTCCGGATAGGCCAATCTATTTATATTTTTAGTCACATCTTGACCTTGTCAACTATTCACTTATCAACCTTGACTGATTTTATATGAGTGTATGTGTGTGCACTTCCTAATGCTTGATTAAATCAAGTTGGCTCATATGCCTTCTTCTTTGCTTCGCTCTCTTCTCTTCTCTTCTCTTCTCTTCTCTTCACTTCGTCCGTCACACTGTCTGTCCAGGTCAACGAATTTACAAAATATATGTATTCAAAAATCCATTCTCGTATTTGAATTATTAATTAATTGCGTTATTCATTCATGAGGATTAATTCGATAATTATATAAAAGGATCGACGATATGTATATTTCAATAAGATTCATACGAACCAAATGGAATCAGATATCGGAAAACTAAAGTTACATAACATCCTTAAAGATATATTCCAGTCAGTAGTAAATATCAGACAAACATAATCTTGCTTCACTTGATATTGTTTGGCCTGTATCTTCCCATTAAGGTTTAAGCCTGCGATTGATCAGTCTGTTATTGGCATATGTGCATGCTGTGCGTGTGCCTCAATATTACCTTAATTCACAAGCGTTTCGTAAGCAATGATGGATAGTGGCTAGTAGTGGAATCCAGGACGTGCGTTTCGTTCTATTTAGTACTCGTCAGCAGGATTTACATGCATCTCAGAGTTGATGTTCACTCTGTGACTGGAACCCAGTACCAATCGCTACAAACGACATCGCGTTATCCACTCAGCCTCTGAGTCCTTGGTTATTACTCATAAATCATCTTAAGTAATATGTAAAAGTAAACTCGAAAAACAATTAAAAATGATGATTTACTTGAATATTCAATTTAAAAATACAAAAAATTAATATTGATACCTACCAGATATTGAATTTGTGATGATAAATTTAAATAAAGTGCACTTGTAGGTATACTTAAATTATCTGACCATTCCATTAAATCCCTTGATTCTACTTTGAAGATTAATGCCTCAATTTGTCCTAACGTAGGTTCTAAATGAGAAGTAGAAATTGCAAAATCAAATATTTTAAGATAAAAAGAAGTGTGAAATATATATATATATATATATATATATATATATATATATATATATATATATATATATATATATATATATATATATATATAGATAGATAGATAGATAGATAGATAGATATAGATATACAGATATGCAAGCGTAGAAAAGATGATAGAATTGTATGACACGACAAAGAAACTCTCTGAAAATCGCCGCAAACCAGAACGACCAGTGAAATGAATGAAAGGCAAGGTAATCACCAACATTGAAGAGCAACAAAACAGGTAGGTAGAACACTTCAAAGAACTCTTGAATCGACCAGCTCCACTGAACCCACCCAACATCGAAGCAACACCCACGGACCTCCCAATCAATGTTGGCCCACCAACAATTGAAGAAATGAGCATGGCCGTCAGACAAATCAAGAGTGGTAAAACAACAGGACCAGACAAAATTCCAGCAGGGGCACTGGAAGCAGACGTAGCGGCAACTGCAAGGAAACTCCACATCCTCTCCAGCGAGATTTGGGATGAGTAGCAAGTATCAACAGACTGGAAGCAAGGACTTCTGGTCAAAATACCAAAGAAAGGCGATCTCAGCAAGTGTGATTACTACAGGGGCATCACTCTTCTCTCAATACCGGGAAAAGTTTTCAACGGAGTATTTCTAAACAGGATGAAGGACTGTGTAGACACCCAACTTCGTGACCAACAGGCAGGATTCCGTAAGGATAGATCGTGTACAGACCAAATCGCAACTCTACGGATCATTGTGGAACAGTGAATTGAATGAAATTCATCACTCCGCATCAACTTCATTGACTATAAAAAGCATTTGATAGCGCGGACAAAACAACACTATGGAAGCTTCTTCAACACTACGGCGTGTCTCAGAAGATAGTCAATATCATACAGAGTTCATATGATGGATTAGACTGCAAAATTGTGCATGGAGAACAGTTGACAAAGTTGTTCAAAGTGAAGACCGGTGTTAGGCAAGGTTGCTTACTCTCACCCTTTCTCTTTCTCCTGGTGATCGACTGGATCATGAAGACGTCAACGTCTGAAGGGAAGCGCGGGATACAATGGACATCTAAGATGCGATTGGATGTTCTGGACTTCGCAGACGATCTGCCCTTCTATCCCAAACGCAGAAACAGATGCAGGAAAAGACGAACAGTGTAGCACCAGCCTCAGCAGCAGTAGGTCTCAGTATACACAAAGGGAAAAGCAGGATTCTCCTATACAACACAGAATGCACCAATCCAATCACAATTGACGGAGAAGATTTGGAAGATGTAAAAACCTTTACGTATTTGGGCAGCATCATTGATGAACATGGTGGATCTGATGGAGGTCCGTGGGTGTTGCTTCGATGTTGGGTGGGTTCAGTGGAGCTGGTCGATTCAAGAGTTCTTTGAAGTGTTCTACCCACCTGTTTTGTTGCTCTTCAATGTTGGTGATTACCTTGCCTTTCATGCATTTCACTGGTCGTTCTGGTTTGCGGCGATTTTCAGAGAGTTTCTTTGTCGTGTCATACAATTGTCTCATGTTTCCTTCTCTTGCAGCCTTTTCCGCCGTCGTTGCTAAATCTTCCACATATTAAGGTTTGTCGGTTCTAATGCTACTCTTCACTTGTTTGTTTATTTCCATGTATTCAGCTTGTGCCTTGGCTTTTTCTGCTCTTGTTCGGCTGGTATTGATCGCTGCCTTATTGTTCCTTCTTTCTTGAATCTTATCCAGTGTATCAACAGTGATCCATTCCTTGTGGTGGTGCTTCTTGTGACCCAGGACCTCATGACATGTTGAAGTGATTGCCTCTTTGATCCCCTTCCAGTTGCTCTCCACAGTAGTTCCTTCTCCATTGAGTAGATCATGAAAGGCCTGGAACTTGTTGCTGAGGACTATCTTGAATTTGTTGAGTTTGTTAGTATCCTGGAGAAAGGCCGTATTGAACTTTTGTGATACTGTCTGCCCCATTGTCCAGTGCTTCTTGAGTTTCAATTTCATCTTGGCGACCAGTAAGTGATGATCTGATGCTATATCAGCTCCTCTCTTGGTTCTCACGTCCTCTATAGTCCTCCTGAACGTTTTGTTGATGAAAATATGGTCGATTTGGTTTTGTGTAGAGTGATCCGGTGAAGTCCATGTGGTTTTGTGTATGCGTTTATGTGGAAATACGGTGCCGCCTATGACCAGCTTATTGAAGGCACATAGATTTGCAAATCTCTCACCATTTTCGTTTCTTTCTCCCAGTCCGTGTCGTCCCATGATGTCTTCATATCCAGTGTTGTTCGTTCCAACCTTGGCGTTGAAATCTCCCATCAGAATGGTCAGGTCCTTTGTTGGGCACTTCTCGATGATTGACTGCAGCCTATTGTAGAATCGATCGTTAGCGTCTTCATTGTAGTCGTTGATAGGCGCTTAGCATTGGATGATGTTAATTGAAATGCCCTCTTTCTTTGTTTTGAACGAGGCATTGATGATCCTTGGTCCATGAGATTCCCATCCTATAAGCGAATTTTGCGCTTGTTTGGACAGCATCAATGCTACTCCTTGTGTATGTGGTGCATTTTCTTCTTCATGGCCGGAGTATAACAGGAGCTCTCCTGTAGTTAGTCGTTGTTGTCCAACTTGTGTCCAATGTGTTTCACTGATCCCAAGTACCTCTAGGTTGTATCTTCTCATTTCTGCAGCAATTTGGAAGGCTCTTCCGGTGTCCCATATTGTACGAACATTCCATGTACCTAAATAAATGGTCGCTCTGGTTGTCAGAAGGGGCATCGGCCTCGTAACTTCCGAAGGAATTCGGCTTTCATCATGAGGCGTCATAATTCTTCTAAATGAAGACCTTCTGACTCCCAGGGCAGAGTTTAAAAGATTTGAATAATTTTTTCTGGTTAGCGTTTTTTTAGCGAGTTAGTTTTCTACGGGATGGGGACGCTAACCCTGTGCCCAACCCTCCTCCTTTATCCGGGCTTGGGACCGGCAGTAGCCTCCGGAGGGAATCCAGGCGGAGTTTTCATGTGATTGCTTCGTTTATAAATTATAGTCTCGTCAACTTTTTTAAAATTATCACTAATATAAAATAATTAATATATAAAGTTATTACATCATTATCCAGCTTAATGGAAATTTTCAAAATACTGTGGTAGATGGTACTATACCAATCCCATATAGATTAATCTAGCTTCTGCACAGATCAATTTATTCATTCTTCACAAGTCACATTTTGATCTTGTCCATAATCGGCTTAGTTAATCTGAATGTTTTTCATATGGCCGTATGTGTGTTAATTGTTTAGAGTATTTGTTATAACTTAGTGCTGTGTACCCTGCTAATGTATAACGTGACGACACGGCCAATCAGAGAGCAGTGACTTATAGATCGGACCAAGGACGCGTATAACACGTGTAAGCAGCCTAGAGTTCTGATCGGTCCTTCTTCCCGCCTAGCCTAGCCAGTTAATCCAGAACACAAATCTCAGCCTCTGCAATATGAGTCCTTATATATTTCAAACATACTCAATTTATATACCAAACAAATAGACCACAAGTTGGCATAAAATAGAAAATAACATTTGTACAAGATTTGGCCAAATGTGGCTGTGAATGTGGGAGACAGTTACTAATAATAGACAGGGTATAATTCAACAGTGGTAAAATGTATAATAATGGTTCATAGGTCAAAATAAAGTTTATAATAAGGGGAAGATGAAGAGTTTAGTTATTTAACAATTATACGACAGAAGTTTACGTATAGTATTGCTCCATTAAAGGTCTCAAATTCGCCACTCATTATTCTTATCGGGACATGACAGTATTCATGAAGTGTTTTTATATTATTTTCTTCTGAATATAGATATTAAGTAACGACTGATCAAAACGATTGGGCTCAGCTGCATATCACTATGTTTCGGTTTGTTTCGTTTCGGTTAACCTCTCTCAATTTGTGTCTGAGATTGTCTGTCTGAATCAGTGAGTGTGCAAAATATGCGAATTCAAAATTCATTTTCGTATTCGACATATTCTATTCCGTTATTCTCTAACGTGGAATTAAATCGATGAAAATATACGATGGTTGATAGAATGCTGATTTCAGTAACAGTCAAAATACGAATTATCTGTACTAAGATATATTGGGCCACTAACAACACTAATTTATGCTAATCACATCAAGGATAATTATCATATCACACATGTTTTCAATTATATCGATTGGAATAAATAAATAAATAAATACTGTTTTATTGTTTGAATGGTGATACTATAATTTATAGAAGATTTTTGTGCGACGTTAAACTAACCTTCGGAATGTCCACCTACTAACTAGGACGAAACGATGGTTATAAAGCAGTGTAAGGAAATAGAATTATGATTTACAGTTGATGGATGTGTAGTGTCAGTTATTATGCCAAGCCCATATACCTTATTCAAGCTTTCGGACATCCCATTCTATTCATTTTACTTGAGCCATACATTGACCTTGTTATTTATTCGCTTATCAATCTGGACTGTTTTTATATGAGCGTATATGTGTGTGCCCTTCTTATCCTATTAATCACATGTCTGTAGCTTTATTTTGTCTGACTATAAATATTGAGTAACGCTTGACAAAGATGGAGTTGGCTTCTCAGCCATCCTACCTGTGCGCCATTTTGCTTGGCTCTGTTTCATTCACTTCATATATAAGGTATATGTATTCACAAATCAATTCTCGTTATTCGACTTATTTAATTCCGTTATTGGATAACGCGATTTAAATCGACGATGATATACGAGAAAAGGCGATGCCAATCTTCCATACAATCGAAAATGGAGTCAGATCAACAGCCGCAAAAGTTGTGGTTAAGCGTTAGGTTTATGGTTTTTATCACGAATTGACATTAGCTGAAATGCGGAAACGCTATTTAACCAAATGGATGGATGAATTTCGCACCGAAATCCAAGATCTGTTATTTCAGCTCTGATTGGTTCGTCCATAAATTATAGTCACGCCTAATTATGTAACATTCTATCACAAAAAGAAAAACAAACATACAAACAAAACAAAAGAACTCACCATCAAATAATGGAGGTAGAGTATTTTCAAAAGCTTCAAAAGATATACCATCACTAATGAAATTATATTCTGGACTGGTAACGACTGACATAAATCTTGGAGTTGATGTTGTTACTGATGAAATATCTAGTTTATTTTCAGTGGATTTACTTGTTGACATTTCGGTAGATATTGTAGTTTCATTAGAGATGACTAAAATAACGATAGAAAAACAGATTGGAAATAATGAACAATAAACCCAAGAAATTCAATTACCATGTAAACAATAAACAACTCAGTTACCATGAAGTGACTGGTCTTATGTTCAGCCCATATTGATTATTCTAGTTTATTATTATTATTGTTATTATTATTATTATTATTATTATTATTATTATTATTATTATTATAAGCTTTATTCAATATTATATTTTTGGTACAATATAGAATTCTCAGCACAAAGTATTTCAACAAGTTTCCGTTTCTTTCCTCTTGGTCGATCCTGACGATAAATATTGAGTGATAGCCAGTTAGATGTTAGCAGTCCAGTAAATAAACATCTGAATAAAGTATATTCTTTTCTCTGCATATTGCCAGCGACCACATTATCTCTTATTGAGCTTTTTGTAACTTTGACAACGAAAAGTTGTACAGATTTCAGAAATGCACTAGGATGGGTTAGGCGATTAATATACATAATGATATATTAAAACAAACAAAAATAGAAAACTTGTTGAAATATTTAGATAATAGGAACAGGTAGACCAGATGCTCAAGCAGGCCGCCGATCAATCTATTCATTCTTCTCAAATCACATTTTGACCTTGTCATTTGTTCGCTTATGTAAGCACATCTTCTTGTCTCTTACCTTTCATTGTTTGCCTTAAGCTCTGATAATATTCAAGTCATATGGATGTTATGATTTTTATGCATAAAATTGATGTAAAACATTCACTAGAATACATGGACATATTTCTGGGCAAATATCAAGCTACCAAACTCCGGTTGTTACATTTACTTAAGGTTATAACTATCAACTACCTGACATCGATTGCATGTATTAAGAAGTAAAAAATATTAGTTTACGTTTGTCCAGAAAAAATAATCCTCTACTGGTTAGACTATTTCAATCACTGCTCTAGTTAACGAGTTATATGTTCTCACGACAGATGATATTTACGGATGTTTGAGTGTGTTGGAAAAAGGGTAGGAGCTTTTAGATAAATTCACCGCATCAGTTCATGAAGTCACTGACATTTCTTCTATGCCATATTGCGGTTTATGTAATAACGGCGATTAGTTGCTGGAAATTGTAGGAAATTATTTAGAATCATTTACAAAAACAGAGATGCTCTATAAGATGCTTTTAGATGGTTTATAACCAAAAATGGGTAGTTTCTAATAGTGGAATCCAGGACACGCGTTTCGTCTCATTTAAGACTCACCAGCTGGATGCACCTGCATCTCAAATTTGGTGTTCACTGTGAGACTCGAACCCAATACCGTTCTCCTCAAACGTCATCGCATTATCCACTGAGCTACTCAGTCATGATAGCCACTTACTTATGCAATGAAGTTTAGTTTTAAATTCACTTGTTATTTACTCGTATCTTCTCATCTACATTAGTTCATCAAATATAGTTTAACCTCATGACTTAATACATTAGAATAAAGTATGTTTAAGAAGATAATAATGTGAATAGAATCACTTACGGTCCACTTCTACATTCAATAAATAGATATTAAAAGTTCTATTATTATTCATTCCATGATATATTAAAGCAGTAATAAATAGACTTTCATTTATTGTTGTAGTATTAATAAGTAATAATTCAATATCAGCAATTCCTTGAACACCTTGAATGAGATTTGTATTATTAATTTGTCTTATTTGTAAATTATTCACATTTATTGGGATGAAGATTACATTAGAACATTTTGCATTTTTAATTATAGGAGAATAAGTTTCATTTAAACTTTCAATAATCTATATGAAGAAAATATAATAATTAGAATAAAACAATGAAATAGATGGGTTTTGTGGAGATTTTTAGAATTTTCACAAGTTGAAATCATCGGTGAATTGTAGCTAGACCACCATGGAAAACCTGGATGCCGACTCAGTGGTCTAATGATTAAGTGCTCGCGCGCGAAACCAGTAGGTCCTGGGTTCGAATCCCGCGAGGTGCGGGGTCGTGGATGCGCACTTCTGAGGAGTCCCATACCGAGACGAAACGGCCGTCCGGTGCTTCCAGGTTTTCCATGGTGGTCTAGCTTCAACTGACTCATGATTTCACTCTGTGAAAATTTCTAAAAAAAAATCTACACAAACCCCTTCTGATAATATATTTTTGTTCTACACCGACTATTTGCTGATTGGTTAATATTTCTCAAGGTCACTTACGATTCGTTCAAAGGTCGTTCATAAATTATAGTCTCGCCGTTCGTACGCTCTCCAATGATTCGTATATATTGTAGCACCCAGCTGCAAACAGTGTTACTGGTACATTTATTATCCAGTTCGCAATAACTGTCATAAATTGCCTTAGTTAGTAATTATATATAGGCTTTTCATCACGAATTGACATCAGCTAGAATGCCAGAAATCTATTTAGTCAAATGGATGAAAGGCTTTCGAGCCAAAATCCGAGATGTTATCTTATACTTGATTGATTCTTCCACAAATTATAATCCTGCCGTTTCATTTATTATAGCCGCTCGATTATCACGTTTTGTACAAAATCCACTGTGAACCGATCGTACGTTAGCATTAAGCACTGAAGTTGGCTCTGTAAACTTAAAAATCTCTCAAACGCTTCTGAATGGCTCGTCCATAAATTAGAGCCTCGCCGAAACTCCAGTATAATGGAGCTCCCTAAATGAATGTCATAAACAAAAATGGGGTTTAATATGTCTAAACATATGGGTTCTATTCTCTCAAGTTTTAATGGATTGTCTACAGTTTATAAATCTAATAATCCATTATGACCAATATTATCTATGTCTAATTCAACTATACATGAAATAAAAAAAATGTTTAGCCAACTTGCTGAACTAAATCTGCAATGAGCTTTGTAAGTTTTCCTTAAAAGATACATTTGACCTAATGCTCCTACAAGTGAGAAGGGATGCAGCTAGCGAAACATTAATCCAGAAGACTACACAGAACAATCCAAGAACCATTCAATGACGGAGAACTGCGACTAGTTTGTTCTAGACGCTTAAGGGTAGCGTTGAGATTAAGACATGAATCACCTAGATTGACCACCTTGTTTTGTATTTATCAGTTCGACTTCCCTTGTGTGACACGTTATATTGGACAAAGCGGAATGAAAAAATCCACTTGATATTGTTTGCTTGAATCTTGTCATTAAGGATTGAGACTGCGATTGATCAGTCTGTTATTAGCATATGTGCATACTGTGCTTATTGCCTCGATATTACTTTAATTCCCAAACTTTCTAAACAAAAATGGATAGTTTTTAGTAGTGTAATTCAAGGCACGTGTCTCGTCCTAATAGAGACTCGTCAACCGGATGTATCTGAATCTCAGGGTTGATGTTAACTCCACCATTCGAACCAAGTACCGTTTATTTCAAACTTCACTTAGCTACTAATTTCTGATAGCCATTTGCTTGTGTAATGAAAGAAAAATTTTCAAAAGGGATGAAAAATATATATATATGCGGAAACCGTCGTGTATCCAACAATATTCAACTTTCTGCGTTACAATAGTTAAGAATTACATTCAAACTGATGAGCCTAATTTTATTGTTATTTAATAATTGGTGAATATAAGAACTTACAAAGAAAAAAACTTACAAAAGTACAAAGTTTCATTTTCAATGTTATATATTCTATTGATGATGAATTTGCTAAATCTGATGACCAAAGATATAGATCTGAATTGTTACCAGTATAAAGTGTTCCTTGAACTCTAAAGACTGTTGTTATTGAAAGTAATTTCCCGAAAGATAAGAATAACAAAACATTGATTATTATTATTATTATTATCATTTCAAGTAAGTAGTTTATTTAGTAATTGAAAATATGGAAAAAGATGATGGATTGTTTAAGGTTAGACACTAATACTGTTGAATGCGGGCTTAATGATAATAGTAGATGTTCAGCGTTCACACATGAGATCGAAGGTCTTGTATTTGATTTCTGCGTGAGGGTTATGGATAAAAACTGTTGAGGAGTCCCATGTTATCAGGTTTTAATGGTGGTCTATTTTATATCAGTTTGTGATTTCAAAAGTGAAAATTCCAAGTATATTAAACTAATGTGAACATATATAATTCACCAATTTAAAAGAATGTTAACTGTTCATTAATTTTGCATTTATTATCAGAAGGGGTTTTGTGGAAATTTTAGTAATTTTTTATAGTTGAATTCATGAGTCATTTGAGGCTAGACCACTATGGAAAATCTAGAAGCACTGGACAGTAGTTTCATCCTAGTGTGTGACTCCTCAGTAGTGCGCATCTACGATTCCGTCCCGTGAGATTTGAACCCAGAATATATATCAGTCTCGTGCGTGAATCCATAACCTCTAGACAACTGAGCTGGCATTCAACAGTGTTACTATCTAACTTCAACCAATCCGAAAAATTGAGCCACCGTTCACAGGTTATTAAGTGTTGGTTAACTTTGATCTTGGACAAAACAGTTTTGTCTGAATAATGTTTGTGAATACACTTTCGAGTAATGGTCTATTCCTCTCTGCTTAAAAATAAATATATATCAATTAATTAAAATGTTGAATTAATCAACACATAATGCACTTATACCTAAAGAGACTGGTCAATTACATTTCTAAACATCAATGGAAAGATCCAGAAAACTAATGTAGATGAATTAAACTTCACCTCATGGAACTGAGTATTAGTTATTTGAATTTAAGAGATAAGTAAATAACGCGAAATTGTTCGAAGTGAACGGTGCTAGGTTCAAGTTCTGGAGTAAACATCAACTCTGTAGTTTTCTGAAATGTCACCTGTATGTTTGTTTGTTTTTTACCTCAGTCGTGTTCCTACTCTTTTGAATGTTATGAAATTCTCATTTGTACCGTCAACGTTTTTAATACATATTTCAATTATATTATTTATCATTATTTTCTTAGAATACTTTCATCATTATTGCAAATGATTGACATTCGTTTAAACACATACTGAATCAAGTGAACCACCACTGCAAGCAGGGAAGCTTTTCGCACCAAAACATGAGTTATTAAAATTGTGCATAAACAAAACGACAGTGGAAATCGAAAACACAAGTTACACTCTTCCTCGAAATATCAAGAATTGAATGAAGTAAGTAAAAGAAAAGAAAACAATTGTTTGCCGACACAATCGTCTAGAGGTTGTGCTCCAGTGCAGTAATGAAGTTTTTCAATTCGTTCCTTGTTAGGGATGCTATTGTTGACTGTTCAAAGGATTTTATATCTTTCATAAATAACTAAATAATTAAAGAATATTTCAGAAATAATAAAAGGGGGAGAAAACCATGAAAAGAAACTGCAAATATAAAAAAGAGGGTAAATAAAAATAAATAAGAGGGAAAAATTAAGAATGCTTATCAGGCGAAAACTGGATAGCGAAGAAAGAGTGGATAAAAACCAAAGAAAAAAAAGTAACTAGGAAAATACAAAATAAAAATTAACGCGAGAAGTTACAAAAAACAAAACAAAATAATAAAGAGAAAACCGCAGATATCAGTGCAAGCGACTGTGCCAAAGGTCTAGCGATGTGAAAAGAAAAAATATAACATACCTATTTGCATTAGTGTAGACTGTGGTGATGGCTGTGATGTGGACTCTGGTGTGTGCTGTGATGTTGACACTGACACTGACACTGGAGTTGAGACTGGTGTTTGCAGTGTGGTTGATTCTGTCGACTGGAATGCTGTAGTGGAGATTGTTGGCGTGGTGTCGATCAAGTGTGACGTGGATGTGGTTTGGTCAGACTGAGTTGAATGAGTGATGTCGGTGACTGGTGGAATGGATGTGGAATCGGAATGGACACCTGTTGAGAAGGAGTATTGGGAAATGAATGTGTAGAGAGTGAGTGTGTTTTGTATGTGTGGATGATGACAGAGAATGCATGAGATGAATTGAGAGTAGTGTGAGGAGTGGGGAGTGATGAGTGATGAGTGAGGAGAAGTGTGCATAATGGGGTGTGTGTATTGGTTGTTATTAGTGAATCAATGTGTGTGTGTGTGAGTGAGTGAGAGACAGAGAGAAAGAGAGAGAAAGAGAGAGAGAGAGATGGAGAGAGTGAGATAGTGGATGAGAGTTGTAGAGAATGTTTGGATTAGTGGTGTTGCGAGTGATTGACAGACTGGTTGATGGAATTATTGACTTGTTGGTTGAGTGACCGAGGTGGTGACTGAGAGACAGTGTGTGCGTGTGACACACACACACACACAGAGGGAGAGAGAGAGTGTGTATGTGAGAGGGAGAGAGAGAGAGGGTGAGTGATTGATTGAATTTGTGAGTGACTGAGTGAGTGAGAGAAGGAGTGAGTGTGTGAGAGAGTGAAAGTGTGATTGGGTGAGTGTGTATAGTGTTGAGGCGTTTGGAAGTGAGAGTGAGATGGATGGTGTGTGTGTGTGTGTGTGTATTAGATGGTAGTATTTGTGTTGTGAAATGGTCGAGTGATATTGGTCGAATGTTGTTAAGTGTATTGGTGTGTGTGTGTGTGTGTTTGTGTGCATGTGTTTGCGAGTGCATGTGATTGCGTGTGTGATAGTGAGTGAGTTTTGGGATGTTAATTCGATGTGTTGTGTTATATTGTGTGGTGTGTGTTGTTGCAATGAAAATCGGATACGTACCTGTTTGCATTAGTGTAGACTGTGGTGATGGCTGTGATGTGGACTCTGGTGTGTGCTGTGATGTTGACACTGACACTGACACTGACACTGGAGTTGAGACTGGTGTTTGCAGTGTGGTTGATTCTGTCGACTGGAATGCTGTAGTGGAGATTGTTGGCGTGGTGTCGATCAAGTGTGACGTGGATGTGGTTTGGTCAGACTGAGTTGAATGAGTGATGTCGGTGACTGGTGGAATGGATGTGGAATCGGAATGGACACCTGTTGAGAAGGAGTATTGGGAAATGAATGTGTAGAGAGTGAGTGTGTTTTGTATGTGTGGATGATGACAGAGAATGCATGAGATGAATTGAGAGTAGTGTGAGGAGTGGGGAGTGATGAGTGATGAGTGAGGAGAAGTGTGCATAATGGGGTGTGTGTATTGGTTGTTATTAGTGAATCAATGTGTGTGTGTGTGAGTGAGTGAGAGACAGAGAGAAAGAGAGAGAAAGAGAGAGAGAGAGATGGAGAGAGTGAGATAGTGGATGAGAGTTGTAGACAATGTTTGGATTAGTGGTGTTGCGAGTGATTGACAGACTGGTTGATGGAATTATTGACTTGTTGGTTGAGTGACCGAGGTGGTGACTGAGAGACAGTGTGTGCGTGTGACACACACACACACACAGAGGGAGAGAGAGAGTGTGTATGTGAGAGGGAGAGAGAGAGAGGGTGAGTGATTGATTGAATTTGTGAGTGACTGAGTGAGTGAGAGAAGGAGTGAGTGTGTGAGAGAGTGAAAGTGTGATTGGGTGAGTGTGTATAGTGTTGAGGCGTTTGGAAGTGAGAGTGAGATGGATGGTGTGTGTGTGTGTGTGTGTGTGTGTATTAGATGGTAGTATTTGTGTTGTGAAATGGTCGAGTGATATTGGTCGAATGTTGTTAAGTGTATTGGTGTGTGTGTGTGTGTGTGTTTGTGTGCATGTGTTTGCGAGTGCATGTGATTGCGTGTGTGATAGTGAGTGAGTTTTGGGATGTTAATTCGATGTGTTGTGTTATATTGTGTGGTGTGTGTTGTTGCAATGAAAATCGGATACGTACCTGTTTGCATTAGTGTAGACTGTGGTGATGGCTGTGATGTGGACTCTGGTGTGTGCTGTGATGTTGACACTGACACTGACACTGACACTGGAGTTGAGACTGGTGTTTGCAGTGTGGTTGATTCTGTCGACTGGAATGCTGTAGTGGAGATTGTTGGCGTGGTGTCGATCAAGTGTGACGTGGATGTGGTTTGGTCAGACTGAGTTGAATGAGTGATGTCGGTGACTGGTGGAATGGATGTGGAATCGGAATGGACACCTGTTGAGAAGGAGTATTGGGAAATGAATGTGTAGAGAGTGAGTGTGTTTTGTATGTGTGGATGATGACAGAGAATGCATGAGATGAATTGAGAGTAGTGTGAGGAGTGGGGAGTGATGAGTGATGAGTGAGGAGAAGTGTGCATAATGGGGTGTGTGTATTGGTTGTTATTAGTGAATCAATGTGTGTGTGTGTGAGTGAGTGAGAGACAGAGAGAAAGAGAGAGAAAGAGAGAGAGAGAGATGGAGAGAGTGAGATAGTGGATGAGAGTTGTAGAGAATGTTTGGATTAGTGGTGTTGCGAGTGATTGACAGACTGGTTGATGGAATTATTGACTTGTTGGTTGAGTGACCGAGGTGGTGACTGAGAGACAGTGTGTGCGTGTGACACACACACACACACACAGAGGGAGAGAGAGAGTGTGTATGTGAGAGGGAGAGAGAGAGGGTGAGTGATTGATTGAATTTGTGAGTGACTGAGTGAGTGAGAGAAGGAGTGAGTGTGTGAGAGAGTGAAAGTGTGATTGGGTGAGTGTGTATAGTGTTGAGGCGTTTGGAAGTGAGAGTGAGATGGATGGTGTGTGTGTTTTGTAGATGGTAGTATTTGTGTTGTGAAATGGTCGAGTGATATTGGTCGAATGTTGTTAAGTGTATTGGTGTGTGTGTGTGTGTGTGTTTGTGTGCATGTGTTTGCGAGTGCATGTGATTGCGTGTGTGATAGTGAGTGAGTTTTGGGATGTTAATTCGATGTGTTGTGTTATATTGTGTGGTGTGTGTTGTTGCAATGAAAATCGGATACGTACCTGTTTGCATTAGTGTAGACTGTGGTGATGGCTGTGATGTGGACTCTGGTGTGTGCTGTGATGTTGACACTGACACTGACACTGACACTGGAGTTGAGACTGGTGTTTGCAGTGTGGTTGATTCTGTCGACTGGAATGCTGTAGTGGAGATTGTTGGCGTGGTGTCGATCAAGTGTGACGTGGATGTGGTTTGGTCAGACTGAGTTGAATGAGTGATGTCGGTGACTGGTGGAATGGATGTGGAATCGGAATGGACACCTGTTGAGAAGGAGTAGTGGGAAATGAATGTGTAGAGAGTGAGTGTGTTTTGTATGTGTGGATGATGACAGAGAATGCATGAGATGAATTGAGAGTAGTGTGAGGAGTGGGGAGTGATGAGTGATGAGTGAGGAGAAGTGTGCATAATGGGGTGTGTGTATTGGTTGTTATTAGTGAATCAATGTGTGTGTGTGTGAGTGAGTGAGAGACAGAGAGAAAGAGAGAGAAAGAGAGAGAGAGAGATGGAGAGAGTGAGATAGTGGATGAGAGTTGTAGACAATGTTTGGATTAGTGGTGTTGCGAGTGATTGACAGACTGGTTGATGGAATTATTGACTTGTTGGTTGAGTGACCGAGGTGGTGACTGAGAGACAGTGTGTGCGTGTGACACACACACACACACAGAGGGAGAGAGAGAGTGTGTATGTGAGAGGGAGAGAGAGAGAGGGTGAGTGATTGATTGAATTTGTGAGTGACTGAGTGAGTGAGAGAAGGAGTGAGTGTGTGAGAGAGTGAAAGTGTGATTGGGTGAGTGTGTATAGTGTTGAGGCGTTTGGAAGTGAGAGTGAGATGGATGGTGTGTGTGTGTGTGTGTGTGTGTGTGTATTAGATGGTAGTATTTGTGTTGTGAAATGGTCGAGTGATATTGGTCGAATGTTGTTAAGTGTATTGGTGTGTGTGTGTGTGTGTGTTTGTGTGCATGTGTTTGCGAGTGCATGTGATTGCGTGTGTGATAGTGAGTGAGTTTTGGGATGTTAATTCGATGTGTTGTGTTATATTGTGTGGTGTGTGTTGTTGCAATGAAAATCGGATACGTACCTGTTTGCATTAGTGTAGACTGTGGTGATGGCTGTGATGTGGACTCTGGTGTGTGCTGTGATGTTGACAC